CCAATCAAGAAATGGGCAGAAGACATGAACAGACATTTTTCCAAAGAAGACATCCAAATGGCCAACAGATACATGAAAAAGTGCTCAACATCACTTGGCATCAGGGAAATCCAAATCAAAAACTCAGTGAGATACCACCTCACACCAGTCAAAATGGCTAAAATTAACAAGTCAGGAAATGACAGATGTTGGCGGGGATACGGAGAAAGGGGAACCCCCCTACACTGTTGGTGGGAATGCAAGCTGATGCAGCCACTTTGGAAAACAGTATGGAGGTTCCTCAGAAAGTTGAAAATAGAGCTACCCTATGACCCAGCAATTGCACTACTGGGTATTTACTCCAAAGATACAAATGTAGTGATCCGAAGGGGCACCTGCACCCCAATGTTTATAGGAGCAATGTCCACTATAGCCAAACTATGGAAAGGGCCTAGATGTCCATTGACAGATGAATGGATAAAGAAGATATGGTATATACATACTATGGAATATTACACAGCCAACAAAAAATGAAATCTTGCCATTTGCAACGACGTGGATGGAACTGGAGGGTGTTATGCTGAGCGAAATAAGTCAATCAGAGAAAGACATGTATTATATGACCTCACTGGTATGAGGGATTCTTAATCTCAGGAAACAAACTGAAGGTTGCTGGAGTGGGGGGTGGGGTGAGAGGGATGGGGTGACTGGGTGATAGACACTGGGGAGGGTATTCGCTATGGTAAGCACTGTGAATTATGCAAGACTGTTGAATCTCAGACCTGTACCCCTGAAAAAAATAATACATTATATGTTAATAAAAAAACAAAAACAAAACAAAACAAAAACATCAGGGACAAAGCATTGGGACTCACTAATAGAAACAAGTTCCCAGATGAAGCCAGTGCTGCTGGTCCATGGCTTACCCATGCCGTAGCAGCACTGCTCTAAAATTGCTGCAAAATACGCAAATCCACAAATGACAAATGGCCCTCCACGAAAAAACCAGTGAGTGACTTACCAAAGGGTATTACGTCTGGTATTCATAAAGAGAACACTGAGCTCTCTAAGAGGTGAGTCACTTAAAAATCTGGTTTGTCGCTCAAAACTTGAAGGATACAAAACTCCTACTGATAATATGCTTATGAAGATAGTTGAACTACAATTTTCAAAAAGAGCACCACTGTGTATCAATGCACTTGAGTTGTTGTATGCTACAACTTACTCTTTGTTAATTATAAATTAGTTTTATCACTACTTTGTTTCAAGTTGTTTGGCTATCCCTCTAGAGTAATAATGATTCAATGTGTAGCAACAGTACTTTTGACCTAAAATTTTTATGTAACTAGACATGCCATAAATATTGCCTGTCTCTACTGATAAGGCAAGATGTTTTGATAAACTACTCTCTTACCACATTTGCTTTTACAATAATATTTCCTTGTTATTACTGGATTATTTTCCAATGGAAAATAATGCCTCAGTGGGTTGGGGTCATAAATATATTTGATGGTCACTTCAATTTATATTTTTTTAAGTCAAGTGAGATAGCATATGATCTTCTCTCTTTCACATTTATATAAATGGTGGAGGTGTGAATTCAGAATGTTCCAATAATTCTTTTAAGTGTCAATGCTTAAGAGGAGTACATCCTGAAAAAGACATCTGAATTAAGAGTGGGATGATCCCCAGAAATTTTTAGGACACAGATAATAGATTCAGAACAATCTGAGATGACACAAAGTAGATCAGGGGATTTTTAGAGGAACTGAAGCTATTCTTTAACTTCAGTGGAAATACTATACCTGTCCAAGAGAACCTTGTCCAAGGGATGCTGCCCATTAGTATTATGACCTCATATGAAATGTCTTCAAATTGGCTTTATAATACAACTTTGATTTAAAGTAAAATACAGAGAAATATAAGACATCTAAACAATTATTTCCCTTTACTTAGTAATGATATGTGTGTAAGAATAATTAGTGTTCTCAAATTTACTTGCATGATACAGACTTGAAACTTTGCATAATCCAGAAATGTCACCATAACTATTATCACTTCTTACACTCTGCCCAAAACTCAAAACTTTACTTTCTAAAACGAAAGTTACACATACATCTATATGATAATGTCTGACAATCACATTCCAGTACAAAGTAGCTAGCAACTTATTAATCACTAAATCCTCTAATGAAAAATTCAAATAATGGCTTTCAACCTCCAATATAACCTGGAATGCTACCAAACTCACCGAAACACAAATGATTATTTTGTAACACAACAAGATATATAGAAAACAGAAGGCTATTCAAAATAAGATGAAGAGAAGGCCTGCCATCAAATCAATTATCAGCGAAGGAATAAATGTGTAATACTTGGAGAAAAAGAGAGGTACAAGATCCAATTTCAATTTAAGTGTCCAAGAGGTGTAATTTAAATGGCTACTTTTTTTTAAATGAAAAAGCCAGTCATATTTTCATTGGGTCGTGGGAAAAAATGGGACATTATATAAAAGGTACAACACTATGACATGTATCCATAATATACAGTAATTTTACTAAAATTTTCAAATTTTAGTCAATATTTATAGATGATATGTGTATATATATTTCAAGTAGAAAAAGCATTCTTTATTAAATAGATTTATAATGTAAAAAAGTTTATAATAACTAAAAGTTCAGTAAGAAGACACAAGATAATTGTTGGAAGGCATGTGAAATATCTCATGTAACAGGATACTGAGAACTAGGATAAAGATAAAAAAAAGATAGCCACACTTTTCATTCAAGGTAGATCCAAGCAGGCTCTGTGACTTTCCAGTCCAGGCCTTCAGACACCAACAATTTCCTGTCTCTGAGAGTACTTCCTCTTGGAACCCAGTTCTGAGAAGTCCAAGCCACAGAGAGGCCATGTACAGGAGACTTGACTGACAAGCCTTGTTATAAAAGACAGTATGAACTGTCATGTGAGTAATCCTAGATGTCTAGCCTAGTCTTTACATGATATGTAATTTTTTTAGAACACAGAAAGCAGAGTTGAAGTTCTAAAAAAACAGGAAAGAAGAGAAAGGGGAAAGAAAAGAATGAAAGCAGGGATGGTAGGAGAGAAAGAAGAAAAATACAGAGTAGGAGAGGAAGGGTAAGTAAAAAGAAAGAATACATTTTTCTCTGGAATGTCTCAATTTTTTTTAGTTCTAAATCTACACTGTATGTGGTCATTTTTATGGGTAAACACAGTTACATGTAACACATGTTATATTCCTTCAGTAAAAATAAGATCAAAACCATAAAGGATTTTAATATACATACATATTTTATTTCGGTGCTTTTAAAGTTCCCAGAAATATTACATTTTCTCTATACTTCTAAGCCAAAACTGCATCATCAAGTATAAATTTGGGAAGAAATTATGTTGTCTAAAATAATCTGCAATACTACTTCACAGGAACATTGTGAAAAATAAAAAAATGTCATGTATAAGAAGCAGTTTACAAGCCATAAAATGATATGAAAGTTTAAATACAACTGTTATAGGTCTATAAAGCCCCTTACTTGCTTCCCCCTAACTTAAGGATAGGTATAAATAGGAACATAAACATAAAATTTTAAATAAAATAAGAATAACTTACCACATACCACATCCCATCCAGCACTCAACTCTAGTGTCAACTCCTTTATTAACCCTCCCTTAAACAATCTAGTTCTTAAAAACAAACGAACAAAACAAACAAATAAAAAAAAACCTCTTAAGAAAATCTTTTAAAAATCCTCTAGAATATAAACTTCATGAGGATAGGTAGGCATAAATGGTCGAAACATTGAATTAATCCCTATGGCATTCTACCACTTACTTATTTCCAGGAAGGGACCATAAAATAAAATATCATGAGAGACATCCTTCTAACACAGATCTTGAGATTTATCTAAACCATAATTATTACTGAGATTTTTCCCACAGTCTACTAATTGCAGTTACTCAAACACGGGGAAAATTAACAGCTTCCAGGAAGAGATAACTTTTAGTGATAATACAGTTAAGTGATTGCAAAGATACACCCATTAAAGACTAAACAGAATTTACACCTTGTTACTACTATTATGTCAAAACATTAATGACTTCTTTTATCAGGATTTTATCTTTTCATCATCTTCTTATAGAGCATTTTAATCTGCCATGACTGGAATGTCTATGTCCTCCCAAAATTCGTATGTTGAAATCCTACTGCCCATTGTGATGGTATTAGGAGGTGCTTACCATCCTAAAAACTCAAAAATGAGAGCCCACAGAGCTCCCTAGCCCATTCTGCCAGGTGAAAATACAACAAAAAGTCTTCCACCCCAAAAGGGCCCTCACCTGACCATGTTGGTACCTTATCTTGGATTTTCAGCCTATAAGCCACCCTCTGGTATTTTGTTACAGCAGCCCAAAAGGTCTAAGATAAAATCCTACAATGTGCTAAATGTAAATGTGTATGAATATGGCAACATTGGGATAGCCTATTTCCTTGACTCCAATGTATCAATGGAAGTAGAGCTTGAAAAACTTACCACAGCTTTTAACATATGTGTCCATAACTTCAGCACTGATCCCATTTGGCCCATTCTCACTTGGTGCATACTTTCTAAAGAAGTTCTGAAAAGATATAATTTACATGTTTACAAATTCAATACAATCCTTAAACAAATCAGACATTTTGAAATTATAAGAAATGACCAAGTGTCTAGTCTAAAGCTTAGTCAGTAATTGCAAAATGTGGACTTTAAAAAGCATATTCCAAGAATCAGTCTTATTACTATGCTTACAGACAGTTAAGATAAAAAAAAAAAAGTATATGCTGCTACTTTTATACCTTA